TCGTATAATTCCAATGTATGGCTATTTCCAGAAAAACTCATTCAAATCTAATATATCACTAACTATCGTAAAATCTAAAGTACCAATAGTAAATGAAGATGTATTTCATCTGTCAGTCGATATTCATGTGAAGGATATAACAGTACCAACGATCAAACCAAAAACTAGAAACAGAAACTTATTTAGGAAAGCTGATTATAATAAATTAAATACTTTCTTCTCTAATTACGATTGGTCTTTTCTAAAATCTCATGATTTGGAATACATTATTGACACTTGTTACGTAACTTTAAATACCGCCATCTCTAATTTTGTGCCACAAAAAATTGTGTCGTATACTTACAACTATCCTGTTTGGTATAGTAATGCCTTAATAAAATTGATTAAAGAAAAAGCTAAGTATCACACTTACTGGAAAAAATATGGAAACCCAAATGATTACGAATCTTTTTCTATACTGCGTTCGCGATTAAAAAAACTTGAAAGGGAATGTTATTCGTCTTATATAAACTTTTCACAAGAAAATATTAAAACTACACCAAAATTGTTATGGACTTATATAAAATCCAAGAGGAAAAATAAATCAGCTTATCCTCACATAATGCAATATAATAATAATCAATTGTCAAATCAAAATAATATTTGCAATGCTTTCAATGAATTTTTTAGTCGTAATTTTAGTCAACCGGCATTACATTATGGAAACTTTACACATAAAAATTTCCTTGGCAATGATGTTATTAGTGATATATATCTTTCTGTCACAGACATAAAAAGCCTTCTTGATAATCTCGATTGTTCTAAAGGTGCTGGATGTGATGAAATCCCTCTATATTTCTTTGTGAAGTGTGCAGAATCGCTAGCGGCTCCTATAACATTAATTTTTAATCGAAGTTATTCTGAGGGTTATTTTCCCAAGATTTGGAAAACTGCTAATGTCGTTCCGGTCCATAAAAAAGGAATCAAAACAGCCATCGAAAATTACAGACCTATATCTACTCTTAATGTGTTGAGTAAAGTGATGGAGAAAGTTGCGCATATGCATTTGTATCCCCTGATTGTTCGTCACATTCCTCCGCAACAGCATGGATTCGTTCGTGGTCGCTCAACCAGTACTAATTTATCAATTTTTTCCAGTGATGTTCTTCGAGGTATGAATGATGGTTTTCAGATCGATGCCATTTATACAGATTTCGAGAAGGCTTTTGATCGCGTGGATCACATTATACTTTTGCGTAAACTCCAGGAGCTGGGAATTCATGGAAATCTGCTTAGGTGGATAGAGTCCTATCTACGTAATCGATCTCAGGCTGTTATAATAGCTGGACATCGCTCTGATTTCGTTGAAGTCCCATCTGGAGTCCCACAAGGCTCGATATTGGGACCGTTACTGTATGCATCATACTTGTATGATATAGGAGACTGCTTTAAATTTTCCAAGTTCCTCATGTATGCAGATGACACTAAAGTTTACGCATATATTAAGTCTGAGGGAGATGCACACCAACTTCAAAAAGACTTGACTATCATGATAACCGTATTAGTGTTAATATTTCAAAATGTTATCAAATTAGCTTCACCCGTAAAAGGCTTCAAATTAAATACCAATATAAATTAGATAACATACCTTTGGAACGCATCTACCAAACCAAAGATCTTGGTGTTGTTTTTGATTCCAAAATGCTCATGTCTGATCATGTCACGACAATGGTTGCAAAAGCGTATAAAAACTTAGGATTTGTTTTAAGAGTGTGCCGTCCATTCTCAGATTCTGTATGTATTAAAGTTCTGTATAATTCTTATGTACGAAGTGTTTTGGAGTATTGCTGTAATGTCTGGAATCCAAATTATTTGTCTTACATAGAGAATATAGAGCAAATACAATGTAAATTTATTAAGGCATTAAATTATCGCACACAACATAAAAAAATCAGTTACAAGGAATCTTGCGAACATCATAACTTATTACCGTTAAAGGACCGACGTACACTTCTACAAATTTTGTTTCTGCACGACGTCTGTAGTAATAAAATTAATAGTCCTGAATTGACATTTCAATTCCAACAATTCAACACTCCTTCGAAACGTACCAGACACACATCTCTACTTCATGTTCCGTTAAGCCGCTCAAAATATGATCAAAATTCTGTGATTAGTCCTACTCTTAACTGCTATAACAAAAACTTTTCGTCTATTGACATTTTTCATGACAGTAAAGCTTCCATAAAAAAAGAAATAATCTCAATTCTAAGAAATAAGTAGTAATAAATAATAATAATAAAACATCACACACAAATCACAAACATGCCACACCTCTTCACATCCTTCCCTACACTACTTGCACTTCACTACTTACATTTAAAAATCACACACACACACACACACACACGCACGCACGCACGCACGCACCCACGCACGCACCCATAAATATCTTCTAATATGTTGGTAATTGCCAAATGTTATTTCTATATTATATTCACACAGTTGTAGCGATATGTTATAAGATTATTTTTATATGAAGTAAGAACCTGTAAATGGCAGTAAAAAATGTAAATATTTACTAACGTTATAATGTCACTAAATGCTGTTCTGGTTCTGTTGACAATAAATTAAAAAAAAGGGATTATATGAACTTAAAAGGTTGTATTGGTGATTTTAATGATAATAATTCTATAAACACATACTCGTTGCGGTCGCGAATCATATTTAATTAAACATTCAACCTGACCCTGACCTGCAAATTCCAAAAAACGCAAGAAAATTTGAATTTCGCGGGCCAACCTGGAGCTTCCGCCTTAAACTAAAAAATGTACATAGCGAGATAAAGATAAATTTGCATTGTTTCATATTGCGTCCACCGAACATTATCGCGGGATCATCTTGGGTTAATTAACTACGCGTGCGCCGACTCCCGCCCCCGCCTACCGCCACATCTCACGGGCGATCCGCCAATTAAGCGGTTAATCTATAGTATAATTGTGCACTGTTTATTTTGTTTTTTTAATTCATATTTTTGTACCTAATAATTGTAGAGTTAAAATTACAAATCGATGTGTGTAAAATACATTGGTTCTTATCCTCATCGGAATTTTTATTCAATCCCCACGTAAAAAAAATATTTCTCATAAATCATTCAGTATAGAGATCTAATTTTTGTTATATAAAAATATCGATAAAAAATATCTCAATACGCATTATATCGATAAAATTATCCAAAGATAGATTTGGACGTAACCCGCTAATGCAAATTCAATAATAATTGTTAAATTATGTAAAGTTAATAATAATTCTTTACAAAGTTTTAATTGTAGCCTGACCAAAAAATGTAAATGAATTGACTTTTGGTTGCATTGTATTGTGTAAATGTATCAGTATCAATTATAAGCCAATGTTATTATAAAAAATCAAATTTAAATTCTTGGCGACAAAGCTGCTTGCGTTCGTAGAAATTACTTCAATCCAAACAACTCTAAATATCCGCTGCGTAGTGCTAGACAAGAAGCACCACTTTCTGGTGGGAGCCTGGTCCTTTTCTACTACGAGGCCTGGCCGGAGGTCAGTTACCAACCACCTTACAAAAATATATAATGTTCTCCAGACCGAATTTCGGTCACGGCGGCCAGTCTCAACGGAGACTAGCCATCGGCGCAGGACAGGATTATAGTGCTCAAGTATACCTATGCGCAAGCACAGGTGCACTCTCTATTCCCTCACTATCATAGTCCGATGGGACGGTTAACCGACACGACCGGAGAGAGATCAGGCGCGGGACCAACGGCTTTACGTCCTTTCCGAGGCACCCCCGTGCTACACCGCCAACTTCCTGACTCCAGGCAGCTACTGAGAATTTCTTGATGGAAAAGCTCAATAACTGATTTTTTGGCCTGACCCGGGATTCGAACCCGGGACCTAATGATAGCAGTCGCACTACTACAACCACCAGACTAACGAGGCAGTCGTGCAAAAATATAACGCCAAACGTAACGGTAAAACAATGATTCCGAATTTGGGTAGACACAGCGATTGCCTGATTACCGATCCTGACAGGTAAAATGTTCAGGTTACCTTCCCTTTTGGAACTTCTGACTACTTTCTAGTGAAATCTGTCATTCTCCACCACACCTCCCTCTCCTCACATATACCCCACCTAGCTGCGATTTCTAAGGTTTACAAAGAATGTAACGAACAAGTCAGCAGATTGGGATGAGATGCAGCATTTTTTACCATCTAATACTTTACGGCAGGACCACTTTTTTTCTGAAGATCCATCTAGCTGCGCATGGTTCAAAACCGAACACGCTCAAGCTACAAAAAGGGTAAGCGCATATTGTGGTTTTATCCATGTTCACGACCGCAAAGCTCCGGATGTTAGCTATAAGAAAAGAGTCTTTAACGAAGTCGCCATGTCCCGTATTACCGAACGTCAGTTTCGACCTCATCAGCGCGACACATGGGCGCAAATCTCTTTGCCAAACCATCTAATAGTAGAGCTTTTTTATCTGTCACCGCTGATAAATATATGTGTATTTTAGGGAAGTAAATGTAGGTATATGACTCTTAAACCGCTAAACTGAACAGAGTTGTGTATTATATTACTTCATTACCAAATAATACCTAATGGTATTCCTGCCAGTTAACCCATGGTGTGATTAAATTTGTGGCAGTTGCAAATAAATATATACTTGCTGCTATATATACGTACTTATATTAAATAGATTACGTATTTGCCAATGAGTTCCGATTGAAAAATTGTGAAAGTAATAGATGGTTAGCTTTACCTAGACAATCACAAAGCCAATTCCAATAATCGCATTTTACAACATGCAAGTAACACAGTTGGCACATTCTTTTTTTTTTATAAGTCCCAAATAAACATGAGACCTAAAAGTCCCAGACCAACATTAGGCTGTTACTGACATATGTATTATCTGCCTATTATGATATCTGCTAAATAAATTTATCACATAATAAATATGTTTCAAAATAATGTCATTACTAACCAACATGTGGAATCCATTTATTAATTGCCAAACTACATTTTCTACCAACAGCTTGACTGTGGAACCATCTTGTGAATTAATCATAGCAATATGTGATGTTACATTTTCTCTGAAAAATTTAGAAATAGATATTTAATTATACAATTTTATTATAATATATTATTACAAAAAAAATGCTAGAATACTGCCCCTAGTAAACGTCATAATGCAACACTCCATTGTAAATATAGATTTTTTATCATTCCTTATCAGGCTTAAAATTTACAACATAAGGCAGAGCTTGATGACCGCAGTGCCGATATCCTCGTACTAGTTTGATATTTATCCTTTGTATATATTGTTTATAATTATTGTATATATTATTGTTTGTATATATACCTTTGATATTTATCACTAATTTGTGAAATTGGAATCTACAAATGTGGAAAGATCTTCCACCATCAAAATATAATCATCAAAAATAAGCAGGGTGTATAAAAAACCACAAATTATAATAAAAAATCTATACAAATAAATAAAATTGAAGTGTCTGTTTGTAATATCAAAATTACAGCTTTTTACTAAATGCAGATGAAAATAGATACGGTACTAATAACAAAAATACAATTTTTAAAGTTTTTGTCTGTCTATCTGTCTGTCTGTCTGTTTGCTCCGGCTAACACGGCTCAAACGGCTGGACCAAGTTTGACGGGATTTTCACTGGCAGATAGCTGATGTCACAAGGAGTAACTTAGGCTACTTTTATTTTAGAAAATAATTAGGGTTCCGCGCAAAAAATTAAAACTCCAAATAACACGTGGACGAAGTGGCGAGGAACAGCTAGTTATGTAAATAAAATTATTTTTGTACATGGATCAACTGTTACAATGCAAAATTTATTATACCAATATTATGAATGTTATTCTTTACAATATTTCTAAATTAAAATACAGACCGAAAACAATATAAAGGCCAAGCCTAGTCTACTTCAAATTTTTGGAAACAATATAAAGTAGACTAGTAGATAGACAATAGAAAGTAGGCTTGGCCATCTTTGTTCCGCCCATCCCAATAGGTGGCGCGATGAGTTTCACTCCGAACTTAGTCCGGACTTTTTACAGAGTGAATATAAAATTATTAATAACACGACCGCAATTCCACCTTTCGTATCAAGTATTCATGATTTATTATGGCACTAAACCAACATATATTGTGAATGTAAGTCATTTCGGTTCATAATTATAAAGTTTATTAATAACTTGACTAAATCTCCACCTGTCGCATCCAAGTATAGTTATGAACCATCATCTCGATTAAACAAATATATTGCGATATGACCTCAATTGGTCAAATCCTGAAAAAGTTACATGATCACTAACAGATGCACCAACACTTAAATATAAATTTTAAACTTAAGTTCATATATATAAATAATGATATACTGTTATTGCAGTTTATGAAAATACGAGTAAATAAGGCTTCTACTTTTATTTGAAATTATCCCAAATTGAATGTGATTTATGGGGCAACAAATACGCGTACGCGCACTCCTCTGTGTGCGATTCAATTCACGTTTTTGCCGACCGATCGGCCCTTACGAAAATGTGCGTGCGTAGTAAAATAGTAGGCGACGCCTACTAGGCGTCAGATATCATGAATGTCAATCAGTTAAAATAATGCATTACCACGCATTTTGAATTTAAAAGATATAAAGGCCAGAATGTATGAGATTTTTTTAATTAATTTTTCTTCACCATTTGCCTAGATTACTTCTTCTGAACTTTGTCTGCAAATTTGGCCGGTTATTGCAAAATAACCCTGTATTATGAAATTTAATCACATTATTTCACAATTGCTAGTCCTCAAATTTGGGCGTGGTTTTGTGTTAGGTCCAGTGTATTTGACAATGCATCCAAGCCTGCCCTGTTCTTATCACTGGCACAGGTAGACTTGGACAAGTGAGTGTCTGTGCAGCATAGGTACTCTTGCAATCGTATATCTATCTATATCATATATATCAACTGATAACTTCCAACATTATTTGGACCATTATTGTTGGAAGTTTTTTTGAAAATCAGCCAAAGTGGATCATCATCTTCAATAATGTGTGCGTTTTAAAATGTTAAATATTACCTGATTAAATTAATGAGTTCAGTGAACTGAGAAACATGATCAGGCTGGTTAACGCCAGTCAGTAGTGTTGCTGTAGGTATTACTCCTTCTGGTGTTACACATTGTCGCGAATGAGAAAAGGAATTTATATAATTTACTATATCATTTAGTAAAATGCTGTATGTTTTATGATGCAGTTGCTGAAATTAAAAGAGTATAAAATAAGTTAAGTATAGTTTTAAATAGCGTCATCATACTTATAATTTAGAAAAAGAATATCATCAAACATGGCTACTAGTTTTCCTACACTAACTGTGGCCTTTGAGATCGTGTGCAATGAAGATAGGGAACGCTTAGCAAAAGCAGCCCTGAAGAAGACTAATTCAAAATGGTTTTAAAACATTGTAATAGCCCGGTGAGGGAGTGTCATAAACAACCTTTCTAAATAGCATAGCTGTTATGGAAATTATTATGTTTTTATAATTAATAGAATCAGGCGTTACTTTACGGAAACCCATTATATAAAAGCTTTTAGAAAAACTTACCTCGCAAATATCCGCGTTATACCGCCACTCCCGCTGGGATTAGTGGTGACGGGGATAGTGCACGCAATTGAGGGATGGCGGGAGGTGCTCTTCATACTAGGTAAGACACATTATTTTATTTTATAACGCGGATATTTGCGAGGTAAGTTTTTCTAAAAGCTTTTATATTATTTTTTTATTTATTCAAATATACCAAAAAAGCAGAAGACAAACCAAGTCCCTTCTGGTTTTGGTAAAGTTATCAAAGCACGTCGACTGAATAGATCAGTTAACGAGAGTAATAATCCAATATGCATCTCCACACAGACTGTTGTTTCGACTTTCTCTTTCCTCCAAAAATTAAACTCATATTTTTCGTTTTGGAGAAACATAGGTCTCTACATGTAGGTTGATTGGGACATATAACTTGCCAATGTAGGTAATCGCCTCGCTGTTTTATATGTGCTCAAAGCCATGAAAGAATATCTTGTTTAAGCCTATCTCCTACGTGCCACTTTGCTCTTGTTCCCTTTCAGCAAAAGATTTTTTTCGCCCTGAACACTAGACATAAATCTATATAATAATATCTCAAGAAAATATTTCTTATATTAGCCTCAACAAGATTCCCTATAGTGAGATGATCTTTAAGAGCTCTCAATCCTTACATTCAGGAAATCCCTCATACTGTACTACCAAGTGATCCTTTACAATATTACCTTCTTCGGCCTAATCCTCCCACAGAAAAACTATATTCATTTCTTAAACATTTACCGAATCCAGCATCAGGTATTCAATATGGCAAATCAGCTAATCCTGCAATCATTGAAACCCCTGCATCTTCTTTTAATGTGTTTAAACAGAGAAAATTCCATTTCCCGAAATGATAATCTTTTTGACTTATTCATTTCCATGATTATTAGTATATTATCCTGCTTTAGGAATACTGAACTTTCATGTAATTTACATCAGAAACTTACTGAGCTTTGCTTCTTACCCTGTAACATAGACAATTCCGCCAATTCTTTAATGGAATAGTCAGACTATTAAAAATAAAAAGATTATTTAATATTTATCTCATTAATATATTTAATTCGTTCATTATTGTCATTCAGATGTAGCTTAGGCTTCAGGCTACGCATGCCTCCGGGATGATAGGAGTGATGCCCATGCTGGTACTCTATTCTCATGCCAAGAACAGTGACATTTTCACAAATTTCTCTCCCTTCTCATAGTCCTTCAATTAATATTGTTACTATTATGGCCTTTAGAATTTCTATTCTTTCTGTTTACATTCCTCATTCCGACGTAAATATCTTGCACCACTTATTTGTTCTCTATTCTATTATTGTAGTTATCTTAGGAGACTTTAATATGCATCATAGTGTTTAGGGTTCTCACTATTGTGATTCTTTGATTTCTTTATATTTAGATCTTATTAAAGATTTAAAGAAGATTACAAGATATCTGTATTTTAATGATAGTTTATTACATCAGTCACAGATATTCATATTGCTTTATAATCTGAGCATTCCAGTGAGGATAATCAATTATGTCTCTAACTTTCTCTATTCTAGATAACTAGATAACTATCTAAAAAAAATGTTTTTGCTTCCTCCAAAATCTATTTCGAAACGGCTTCCACAAGGTCCAACTCTGAAAACACTTTTGCCAGTCTTGATCTGACAGGTCGGAAATCGCTTCTTCGTATGCAGTCACGGCTCCTTTGGCGCTTGAAAAAAACTTGCCTTTTATTTTTTCTGTTGAGTGTGTTTCAACACCAGATTCCTCAATAAATGCTTTTGTTCTAACGCCTCTTCACATACCTCATGTGAAGAGGCGTTATCGTGATACAGCATGATTCCTCGAAGCCCGGTCTTTGGTCTTCTCTCCCACACAGCTTGAAAAGCTTTGCGTAATGCAACTGTAGTATACCATTCAGAGTTGACGGACCTACAATTTTCCAGCATTGACGTCGACAAATGTCCGCTCCGCGAAAAAAAACTAGCCACCATTTTTTGCCGACGTTGCGAGGTATTTGCAGTTTTGTCGGTAACTGTCCTTCTGTGTAGACCCATACTGATGATTTCCTTTTATTTTCCGGATCATATTGATAGATCCATGTCTCGTCACCAGTAGTGATTTCTGAAACACGGCTAGATGCACCGTTTTCAAAACATAGACGCATTTCATGGCACCAATCCACACGAGTCTGTTTTTCGCTTTCGGAGAGCAAACGAGGGATCCATTGACAACAAAGCTTCCTCATCCCAAGATGTTGATGTATGAATGCTCCCCGAACTAATGCCTACAACCTTTTTGATGTCCGTATATGTGATTCCTGGGTCTTCTCACACCAATATTTCAGTAGTCCATACATTTTCTGCCGTTACTGCTGTTTGTGGGACCCCGGTTCTTTGGTCATCTTTAAGATTAATTTTACCCCTTTTGGATTCAGCAAACCACCTAAAAATTGTTGCGCGTGATGGAGCTGAGTCCCCTAATGCTGATAGTAACCGTTGTAAACTTAATTGTTTGGTTAAACCAAATTTAAAATCATAATATATCATAGCGCGCAAATGTTCACGGTTAAGATCCATCGTTTTAAATGAAAGCGCGGGAAGCGTTGCTTGAAAATTAATAGAACTTTGTTTTTTTTTTTAATATTGAGCAATTGGCTTATAGAGTTCTATTTTTAAATAAATTTGCTTTTTAGAAACATATAACGCGAGTGCATTCCATTTTTATATTTCGAGCATCTCGAAACTTATTGAGTAACCTACGTATTCTGTGAGGGCGTGTCATTCGCCAGCCGAGCCAACCCATTCGCGTTAAAACTATAATATAGCTGCAGCTGTGGCTCTATTAAGCTACTATCGATATAATTTTTAAACAAACCTAAATAGGATAGTTAAGAATAAAACAGTTTTTACTTTAACTTCGCAACTAACTTCCCAATGAACTAGAGACTTGAAATTAACATAGATCAGAACTCATACTACAACATATTAACACGGGTGCGTTACATTCTTAAATTTCGAGCATTTCAAAACTTATTTGAGTGACCTACGTAGGTATTTCATTAGACAACATCTCAGAAAACGTCAGTTTAAAGATTGATGTACATGGGTGCTTCCAAACAGTTTGATGAAAATTATACCGGAGCTGCTGTTTGGATCCTTAAGTTCAAAATCATTTTTAACTTTAAATGTCCCTCATATGAGCTTAAATATATATTGAGTAACATATTCTTAATAAAACAGTTATTGTCACAGATTTAAATAGTAGTTTATTAGCTATTTTGTCCAATCAATTCCTTAGCAAACATAAATTTTCACTTATCCTCAAAACAAAAAATACGCTATACAAATATTAAAGAAATTCGTGCTACAGTAGCTTGGATTCCAGATCACAGTTGTATCTATGGAACAGAAACTACTTGCTAAAAATGCAATTGCTAATGACATTCTGCAAAGTTTAATTAACTCACATGACCAAATTTACCAGCTAAAAGTAAACTAAATGAAAATTGTACTAAAATATGGAAAATATTTAGTAAGAATGGTAGAAGTAATTTACTACACTGTGCTAACATCCAAGACATTATTCCTCCCAAGTATTGGTTGCAACTTCTTGTAGTTTGAGAATTGGGCATGCTTGTACATGTCATGTTCATCTGACAAAAATCAGAGTTATGGATAGCTCATTGTGTGAATGTGGGTTAGATGAAGATTCCACAAACCATATTTTTTTTCAACTGTCCTAAACTATTCTCCTCTCTCTTTGATTACCTTCCTCCTTATATCCGTCGACCTAAATATTTCAATACTAATAACATAAAACTTCAAATTATTGACACTTTTTGTCTTTTGTTATATGTAATTCAACAGATAGATTTGTCAAAATTCTAGGAGGAAAAGTATACTTTTGTATATTATCACAGACTTACTTTTAATTAAGCTCATCAGTTTTCCTTTTTCAAAAACGTCATTGGCAAATTTTAACAAACCACCACAAAAAGAAGTTAAGCTTCACACAATAAAGATCACATATATACTTGGAACATTATTTCATTTAAAAAACAATAACGATCACTTTTATCAAGCTTTAAAAGGAGATAATCCCCTAACCATGACTATATAGCATTGTCCCTGTCACTCATACATGTGTTGTTGTACAAGATTGCTAGAGTGCGGTCAAATCAACATCAAATATATATACAGTAAGAGTAGTAAAAACTCCCAATTTGAAATTGTACTGTGGCCTCTAAAATAAAGAGGTAAAGCCTTTACAAGGTCAGTCAGGTGATGTTATTTAAAATGTTCATAATTATTTGGTAAAAAATGTATTATTTTAATTTTCTTAGGCAATTGTCTTCAACCACAAACAAGTGGTAAAATAAAAAAATTTGTACAATCAACTTCAGTATAAATAAAATGAGAACAACATCAATGTGATTGAAGTCAATTAAATATGCATTATTACAGATCACTAAAAAACTACTTGTCAGATCTTGATCAAATTTATATGAGACCACATGAGAAGCACCAGCTTTCACATAAAAAAAAGAATCATCAAAATTGGTCACATAGAAAAAAGTTCTGAGGTACACCCTAAGAAAATACAGTCTAATAGAGAAACTCCTCGTTTTTTTTTTAAAGTTGGTTGAAATACATAATTGCTCTTTATAGATCATAATATATACTGGACCATTATCACTTTGTGAGTCTTAGGTGACACTATAAATCCTAAGATTGCAGATTATCTCATTCTAAAACTCAATGTGTAATATTTACTTGTTACTTGAGCTTTCTATATACTATGTCTTAGCAAAGGCTTTTAATTTGTTAATAGTTTAATTTTTTGGCCCTTTAGAGTGGACTAAGTAATATTGCATGCTCAAGGTAACAACTTACTTTGAAAACTTAGAACTGATGATCAAAACTTAAAATGAAGATAGGTCACTTCCTTTGTGAGCTAGTCAAAGTCAAAGTCAAGTGGGGGTGATAAAAAACACAAAAGATGATCTAATGAGCAAAAAAATTAAAATATGGAGGATACCTTGTACACACTACACACTGCTAAGCCAGTGATAAGGACTAAAAACTTATATTTTATAACAAAGTTGATTTCTGTTGATTACTCTTTATATACACACAGTATTTAATATATCTTTAAGGCACTTTTAATAAAAGAATCAGGATTGTTTACTTACATCTACAAAACCATATGAATTTAATTACATATGAAAAGCAGAATAAAATATGGGAATACCATTTTTCTTTTCATAGAATAAGGGTGAAAAACGAGCACACAGTCGACTTGATGGTAAGTGGTTGCTGTGGCCCATAGACATCTACAGCTATCTTCATCTGCGAATTAAAATGCAGATGCGTTGTCAGCCGTGAGGACTAAGATAGAATGCCTCTTTTCCAGTAAAAAGGTATCTAGTTCTCTACACTCACCATACGAAACACAGCAGCATTAAGCTGCTATTGTACGCTGGTATTTTGTGAGAGCATGGTCCTACCCCGAACGAGCTGACCCATTCGTGCTACAACTATACTGTTAATATAGCTAATATGGCTCTACCACGTAGAAAAATGCTGTAAAAAATGAATTAATGTATAAATAAAAATAACTATGTACATTATTACTTGTAATTAAAATAAGACTAACCTTAATTTCATTTTCAAACAGATTCCAATTTTCTTTGTATTGTAAATACCAAGGCTCACATATAAATAATGTATTGACCCATGAATCAGATTTATTTTTAGTTTTCTTTGATTTTTTAAACGCTTCGGCAAATGTGAAAACACCCTGAAAATTTTATATTTTAAAAAGGTTAATGTTCTATTGTTACAATTGGCCAAAAGCAGGCAAGTTTATGACAAGGATTAGAATACCTTTGAAACAGACACAGTGGTCATTTTCATCACAAGCTGTAATCTGAAGTGGGCAAAATTTATCCTTTTATTACTTTATGTGATGTGATGTGATAAATACTTCAAAAAGAAATGAGTGCTTATTGCTATTGGATCACAATGCTTTTGTATGTTACAGCGTATTATAATATTTTTCCTGAACTTTCGTGTCTTGGTCAGTCTTGGTCAACAAAATATTTTTCGATTCTCAAGTAGACTCAAACACAGAACACTAATACCCTTAGGCGGGACTCAAACTCAAATTGAGGGTATTATTGTTCTGTGAGAGTAGTGATTATATTCTCTTTGTGTGAGAGCGTCGTTTCAAATTTCAAAACGCAAGTTCAAGTTGTCATTTTTTTTTTGGAGTTTATGGTCTGGTATCTAGACCTTTAGGCCAAGTCTTAAGTATTTTTATTCGGTTTATTGTAATTTCCCCACTCCTTCATAGTATACTGCTTCACAATATGTTGATGCGTCACATTGTGCAGTTCTTGGGAGATTTTGGCGGCAACTTGATCCAGCAGACAGCTGATAGTTGGCGATGGTATCTAAAGGTGCCTATGCAAACAAACAGCTTATCTTGAGAATCCATCACCATCAGAGCACTTGTTTCACTGTTTCCACTAATAGTTCACATGCGTAGACACTTAATACACAAAATCGCAACACTTTTACATATCAAAGTCCACTTCAAACCATTATTTAAACAATAATACAGGAGCAGCAAACCGCCGCCGGTCAACACATTTGCAATTTTGCACATCTTTGATCGGACAATTTTCAATATGCTACGCACAGAGTATCTTTTTATAACCAAGGATGCTTCGGATTCGTACCCCTTAAGCCCGCTTTTCACTATAGGATATAATATAATATATAATACATCTCGAGATATAAATTAATATCGCTCACCATACATTTCATATGGAACCGTTTACATTGAGCTATAATATATATTACATCTCAAGCTATAAATAATTTTTCGATCGACCGAGCGATATTTTCATATTATATTTCGCCCCCTGTACCCCGCACACCGTTCCGCGCCCCAGCAGATCGGTGTACGGGGTAAAAGGGGCTAATCAAATGACGAACGCACACTAGTTAAAAGTTATATCTCACAGTGTGAAAGCCAATCGCGGGATATAATTTATATTTCGGGATATAATATATATTATATCCCATAGTGAAAAGCCAGCCTCAAAAATACTACTTTATTACAACGAAACTCGATTTGCTTCAAATCACTATTAATACATATAAAAAAGCATGTCAAAAATGAGGTTTGTTTCAAAACGAAAGTAAGACAGCAACTGTGTTGTATTAAAATGCAACCAAAAATATTTTGTTCCAGGTTGCAACCTTTCTCTATGAATAATTATGTCAAACGTCATTCTCTTTTAACGCGCGTGGCGCGTGTTTTCTTTCAGAGAGAACGTCTTTGGCGTAGCATAATATATAATAGCCCAGTAAATCCTATATAAAATAAATGTCTAAATTACCCACAGCCTGTGTTTTATTTCCAATACTTTTTTATAAGTAGCAACATTAATATAATTTGGATTTCTAAAAAGAAAAAAGATTTAAAGCCTGTTTCAAAGTGAAACTTGTCCAAGATTTTGGATCAAAATGCAAGATGTCCATTAATGTTTCATTATTTTCTACCATTAGTACTAAGGAAACATTTATTCTTTCAGAACATTAGTAGTAGTTATGCCAAAACCGGTATAATTGATTTTTATGAGAACTGTTTTTAATACAGGTTCTTGCTCAATTACTCAAAATTGCGTTTGTTGGACAAGTCGCCATTTGAAACAACGCTCATCAATTGTCATTGTATTTATAGGTTTTCTGCATAGTTTTCTGTGACTCAAATTCTTTTTCCAACAGTTCAACGACTTAGAATATACTGGCGTATAGACCAACATAGTGTGCAAGGGAGAAGAAAATTCCTTATGGCAAAAATGCAAGATAGAAAAGGATACCAAATCTCATGACTCTGTAACCGATTTTGAATGACAGATTGGCATAATTCGGCGCGCAAGAAATAGCTTCTAGATATTTATTAATTTTTTAAAGTGGTAATTTTTAGTAAGTTACATTTTTCCAAAATGCTCACTTGTTCAGTGAGTGAATGTGGTGTTAATAATAGAAATAATCCTGATAATTGCTCATTTCACAGTAGGGATGCTTGATGCTGTAGAAACATCGATGATGACATCGATGTTGACATCGATAGCTCAACATCGATGTTTAATGTTTATCGTACTCAAAACATCGATGTTGGCCATTATCGATGTTTTTTGCACATGTATTTAATAGGTTAGAATTAGATGAATAAAAAAATTGTCATGTTGTTTATGGTTTATAATTAATGAAATAAAAGAAATTAATAAACAACGTAGCGTAAAACAGTAATTAAAAAAATTAAAGAAGTTCACAAATATCTAGTTCATTTGTTATATAGTCCAATATTTTTGCCGATTGATTGAAGAAATAGTGATGTTGATAAAGAGTTGAGCCAGCTAATAAAATACTTAAAAAATAAAAATTTTGTACAGATAACTTCAATATAAATTATTAAGGATAAATCAAAAACTATTGGTCAGACTTATATAGGTCAAATTTATATAGGAACACATGACGAGCACCAGCTTTCAAATAAAAAAGAGAATCATCGAAATCGTTTCACCCAGAAAAAAGTTATGAGGTAACACGTAATAAAAAAAATATACAGTCGAATTGAGTACCTCCTCCTTTTTGAAGTCGGTAGATAACCGCCCAGATGGCGATGATAGTCAAACATCTCACCGTAAGTTTTTTTTAATTTTATTTTATATAAGTAAACCCAATAACATTGTTCTAAACGTGAATTGGATCGTGTTTAAGATCAACCATCGGATTTTTTTAAAAACAACCAACAAAGAAACGGACAACCAACAACGACATCAATAATAAAACGAAATCAGTGACAATTGCGACATTACAGACTGTAAAATTAACTGTCAAGTGTCAACTGTAATTTACAGTTGACACTTGACAGTTAATTTTGATACACCATAATTTATATATCTTTAGGTTATCGATGCGTTCATGCATTCTGAATCATTCAAAATTTTAAATATTTTAGAGGAAATGCAAGATTTATTTGATATTGATTTCTCGGGTTCGCAGTGTTCGCAAGTACCCAATAATCCACCAACTAATCTATTATGGGTTTATTGATATCGATTTTTCAATGTTTGATATGAGGCAACGTCGATGTTAAAACATCGATGTTTTCATTTTTGACATCGATGATCATCGAACATCCCTATTTCACAGGTAAATTCTCAAGACGTCGTCAATGTTATGAAACGTTTATTTTTGGTTAAACTTTATGTTATATACTGTTTAAAATATAGAACGTTTTCAATTATTTTGTTAATTTTGATATTTTACAAAGAAAAACGTTACGTCGTTGATAATTTGCATGAATTTGGTAAATACATTTTTATACAAAATATTTTACATGTACGGTAGGGATTGACTCAACTATATTAAAATGAATGTCGATCGCGTGTTTCTATATAGTTTGTGATGTCGATATTTATATTGAATGTTTATAATGAATCGATAGACACACAACAAGTAAATAAATTGTCGGCTTGCGTTCTAAAATGTAATTTTATTTTGCCGTTTGTCAAACAGATTCCCTGTGGATACTATAATTAGAAAAAATGGTTAAGGTTCATTGGACGGGTTGGTTGTAATGCAACGAAGAACTTAACAATTTGCAGCAAACCTTTTCTTGAGAAGTATAAAAGAAAAAGTAGAATAAAAACAATTTTATTAAAAGAAGTCATTTCTACATTATTTGTACCAGTAAGTAAAATATTGTTATAATAAGACTTCAAAATTTAACTTTCAAAACTTTAGATAAATATGAGATAAAGGTTGAAATTTAGAATCGTTATGCAGGAGGGGGGCAGGGAGTGAGTGGAGTATTGGGGGGGAGGGGGGTGAGCGTCCCCTTACTCCCGACACCACTCCCATTAAAAGGTAATTAAAAGGTAAAATTAATAGGTTTTTGAGAAAAATCGAAAAAAAAATCCCATAGACCTAACCTCAAAAAGATAACATTTATCGTCTCCGGCACGAGGGTGGAATAGGGGAGCAGGAGTGTGCCCTTTCCTCCTTGCGGAAAAGTATAGTTTATGAGTAATGGGTTTTTTTTAAATCATAGCCTCACTTTTTCTACACAGGAATATTGACCCAAAGTTACTTCTACAACAGCTTCGGCGCAGCAGGGAGTACAGCGCCTTCGCCCTTACGTAGCGTAACCTTGCGTTCCGCGCCTACGGCTTTACAAAAACATTCTAGGAGTAGGGCAGACAAGATTACGCGGAGTCGGGGCGTGCTAATTAAATTTTGGTACAGATTCGATCAGATCAGATATCTTATCTATAAAGCCAGGTTGGCTTTGCTCCCGCCACACACTTCTAACCAATTACAATTTAAAGTATATATGGGTGTTCAAGTATTTCTGGGCAGTTTTAAACAATTCTGAAATAAAACAGTATAATATTATAATCATTTCTTATTTGACACTTGACAGAGAGTATACAGTAGAATAATGTGACACTAATCTTACGTCCTTGTCGCACTTACACAAAATTCTGTATGCTATCCAGCTTTCACAGTAATATTGCATACGTTTTTCCATGTTTTACGCGTTTTAGGTTATAGTAGTTTTTATTTATTTATTCGATAACCGTGCATTACCTTTTAATGTGAGTGGTATTATTATAATCGGGGACCAAACCTCTATCAAATAAAACACCTTACTCCCCCAAATCGTCCGTAGCCTAATGGCAGGACGCGGACCGCGAACTCGAAAGGTCGTGGGTTCGAATCCGCCATGCGACTACTGTCGTCAACCACTTCTAACATAAGCGTTTTAAGCTTACCAGTAGTGGTTAAAGGGAATATTAGTAACGTTTAATAGCATCACTAGTATTTTA